CGTCGCTGCGGGAGGGCATCGAGGCCGACAATGACCCCGCTAGGCACCCCGCACTCTCGCTGGGGCGTTCCCTCGCCCCAGCCTCATCAAGGAGGCCACTATTGGCCTCTTTCCTCCCGGCTGAGCTGGTGGTCGGCTCAGCATTGGGCGTGTTTCGCCCATCTGAGAGGGAGGCGTACGCCTCCATCTCTTCTTCCTCTCCTCCTGCGTCAATTTGGTTTTGTTTGTTAGTAGACATCAATTTAGGTTGCCCACCCCTTTTCACCCGGAGGCTTACAGGGCGGGCCATAATACATGGAGAAACTAAATACCCCCCAGGCGGAGCCCCACGCCTGGGTTCGGGCTTGATACACCCGGGGTGCGCCAGGTGCCCCGGGGTGGACCGCTCGCGGCCGGCTAACCCGCCGGCCACTCATCCCATCGCCGCGACTCCCAAACTTAGGATTGGGGGGGTTTTTTATAGAGGTCCCCGTCCTCGCGGCCCAGGCGTTTAAGCCAAGGCCCTCGCTCCCCCGGAGGTTCGTCATAGACATGACATAACGACCTCCGGGGGTTTACGATATGAACAGGTCCGACAGTTGCCGGGCCTGCGCTGTAGGAGTCCTGGCAAATACCACGCAGACCCCTAACTCTCCCCGTGCGCAGCTGCCCGCACGGGGGGGCCCTCACGGCCGGTCACGTCGCAGTTTGCAACGTGACCAGAAGGAGCCGCAGGGTTGCCGGGGTGCGGCACCTCTCCACAGAATGTGGGGAGGGCCAATGTACCGGTCCCTGCGACTCCACCTTCCGTCCCGCCGGCCCGGAGAATCTCCGGGTAGTTCCGACGGGAAGGTCATCCCAGGGTGCGCGACCCCGACCTCGGAATATGTCCGAGCGGCCCGAGCACCCCTCCACCCCCCGCGAACCGTGAGGCGACTCCTCCGGTGTGCAGTCGCGGGTGTGGGTACCTCTCCCCGCTCGAACGCAGGACTACTCCTACGCTGAGCGGATTGAGGGCAACCCGCTCTCTCGGCAGAGTGCCTTGAGAGTCGGGTTCTTCTCCTTGTCCTCCGGGAGGAGTGCTCCCCCCGGCCCGGAGCGGAGGCCCCCCCAACCCCGAAACCCCACCCCGGTGGCTGGTGGTGGAGCAAGCTTCACCTAACGGCCCCAGCCGGCCGGGCGATTGGAGTCAGGGCCGCCTACCCCTACCAGCGATTGGGCCACATAAGTTACATCATGATCCAACATTAAATTACCCATCATGTCAACTTCTGGAATTACGTGGTTCCGGAGTTATGTCGTTAAGCTAAAAAATCAAAAAGAATTTTTTTCTTCGAAACGAAAAAAAGCCATGGCTTTGAAAAAAAAATATGGAAATTAAAATACTTTAGAGAAGTTCAAACAAATATAGTTTGATTTGATTCGGATACTTATAGAGTGTCCAAAAAAACATTTTAATTTTCGAAACGCGATTTTTTCACTATCCTGCAGAGTCACCACCATCATATTTTATATGTAACATCACTACATACTCATGTATAATATTTATTTTAATAGAGATGATCATGACGGTACAACATGGTTACAAATATGAATAACTAAAAATCTTTTTTTTTTTTTTAAGAAAGCGAATGCCAATGTGGGAAACTTACATTTTTAAAATATAAAACTGCTCTTACTTCTCATATTTTCGGATATTTTGTCCACACTCTCTTATAAGAACAAATGTCCGAAACCCGATCTTCGATAAACATCGCTTAACAGACAGATATTTTGGTCTTTTCTGCATCCAATTAAGATTGGTTTTATTGCATTTGCATTAATAGATCTTCGTTAAAAAAATATATAATTATTGTATATAATAATTTATATAATTGTATCTTTATACAATTGTATAAAATTATATCATATTATATCACATCATATCCAATTTGATATTAACCGATCATATTATGTATGAATTTTGCACGCGGCCTGATATAAATATATTTAACAAGATGTAGGTAAATAAAAACGTTATTTATGTTCAGATCTGAATGCATCTGGGAAGCCGAGCACGTGAAAAATAGGTCGATATTTTATACAATCAGGTCTGCTTATATACAGGGTGTTCGGAAAGTACCGGGACGCCCGAATATCAGGAAAAATATAAGTTTTACAAAAAAATGTTTCAGACAAAAGTTGTGGCGTTTAAAAAGTGTATTTACTGATCACATCAGTTTGACCTTGGGTTGCGTAGCGAAGGTCAGGTCAAGGTCACATTAATTTTTTTAAATGGAACACCCCATTTTTCATTGCATATTCTTATAGCACATCTCGAGAGCTTTCCAAA